TTTTTTTTTTTTTTTTTTTTTTTTCACTATAGGGCATGTGCACTCGCCAGACAGACAGCGAGAGATCTGGGGCACGCATGCACATGCGCCCAGCGTGAGTTTTAAGCCACCGGGTCCGGGACACGAACCGCAGTCAACTACGTAGGAGTCCAGCGACATAGCCATTACACTAACTGCTGGTTCACCTGGGTTTTTTCATAATGCCTCAGTTTGGGTTGTCTGATATTTTTCCCAGTTCATCCGGTGTGATGAACCCTCCCATATACTTTAAATCATCTCTCAGTAATGTATACCTAATTACCTAATACAACATAAATACTATGTAATTTTTATACTGTATTATTTATAGAATAGTGGCAAGAAAGCCTGTACATGGTCAGTACAGATGCGACTCATTTTTTATTTTTTCAAATATTTTCAATCTAACATTGGCTGAAACTGGATGTGGAACCCGCAGATACAAAGGGTTGGGGTTGTAGTATAAAGTCTCTCTTACCCAACCGCCTTTCTTTTTTTTTTTTTTTTTACTGTTAGGGTACTTTATTTAGTCATTTTATTTACAACCAAAACTCTGGGAATTCAAAATAAACGTCCTTACCTGTGAGCTTCTTGTAGACACCAGGAAAAGTTTCGACCTTGTGCTCCACGTGGTTCTGCTGGGCTCTGTCCAGGTGGAACTTGAGCTGCTGTGCAGCTTCACATGGATCCTCGCACCCACAATTTCGCTGGGGAAGACCACATCCTCCAGGATTGCTGCATGTGCGGCGACAGAGTGCGGCTCCTGGGATGCTTTTGCTTATTCTTCCTGCGGCTTTTTCAGGTTGGCTTAGGCATAATTCTCCTCTAAGCAGTGAAGACCGCGTGCTTCCCGCTGAGCTGTTCTCCCGTTTGCATACCAGCTGCACTTGGGTTTTCTGGAAGGGCTTCCGTCGAGGGACAGGAACAAAGACTATGATAACTTTCAGACCACTGCCAACTACAATTTCCTTGGCTGCCGTGTGTTCAGTTCCCTGAGCCGCGCCCTCAGGTCCGAGTTCTTCTCCAGCTCCAGCAGAGCACCCCTCGACCTCGACCAGCTTCTTGCCGTTGGGCTTCACGATCTTGGCACTCGAGCTAATCATGCCTGCTCCTTGGTGGGCGCCGGCTGAGGAAGAGCTCAGCTACATTTTTTTTTTGTATTATAGTTTTTTAATATTAATTTTCCCCATTTCTTTATCTTTCTCAGACATTTATGTTATACTTATGTTGAATCTTCTTTGCCCATCTCATCACTTCGTCTAAATTTTTTCCCTCAAATCTTTTTTGTTTTTAAAAAATTTGGCTTGTTTTCCTCCTTTCCACTTCTTGGTTCTCTTGAGAACATATTTCTCTTGAAGAGTTATTTGTTCTTGTGTTCCATTTAGTTTAATCTTCAGTTTCTGAAAGTTTCTTCTTTCATTTCTAATTCTTTCTCGTTTATCACTTTTTTCCCCCAAATCTTTGTTTTATCCAATCATCTTATTTCTAAGTCTTTCAAATTTAAAACTTTGCTGTTCTATCATAGCTTCTGTAATTTCATTTTATTATTATTATTTTTAGAGTTTTGCCACAGGGCCTATGCTCTTGCCAGAGAGAGACAGCAAGAGAGAAAAAGTGAGAAATCATCCCGTTGGGGGATGGCCATGCCACAGTTCCTTCTCCTTCATTCTCCTCTTGGGACCTTGGGCACACATGCACACACGCCCAGCATGACTTGCAAGCCAGGAGATCTGGGATTTGAACCCTGCAGTCAGCCATGTGGGATTCAGTACCTTAACCACCTGCCATCTGCTGGCCCAAACTTTCATAATTCACATAGTTCATTTTGAAATGCTAAATAATAGTCTTTATTTTGTGTGCACATATTTCTGGCATACTTTGATTTATAGAGATATTATTCTACACATTAATTCATTAATCTTTTTCATTGTTTTGATAATTTTATATGGGATTAAACTACGTCCTCTACCATTGCACATGCCATTCAAAATAGAGTAGAACTGCTTTCCAAGGCTTTATGGCCGAAGGTCTTTTTCTGTGGTTTTGGAAAAGTAATGAAATATATGACTTCATTGTAGAGATCTTTCACCTCCTTAATTTATTCCTGGGTATCTTTTTTTTTTTTATTTTTTTTATTTTGCTATATGGCATGTGCACTCGTCAGAGAGACAGATGAGAGAGAGAGGCAGGGGGAGGGAGAGAAATCATCCTTCAGAGGGGATAACTCCATTCTCCATTCTCTCGGGATTTGGGGCATGCATGCACTCATGCTAGGTATGATCTTCAAGCTGCTGGGTCCTGAATTCAAACAGCTTAGTCGGCCTGTGGGATCCAGCCACCTTAACCTCCATGTCACCTACTGGCTCTCCTATGTATCCTTTTAAAAATTAATGTAAAAGAACAGAGAAATGGGTTATCTGTTGAAAATAATTCTATAGTATTGTTAACAGGACTAGCGAGAAATGCACACATGTTGGAATATTCATTTTGCAAGCTAAGTAACGTAATCAAATGTATAAAAGAAATTAAAATTTAAAAATTAAAGGAAAAAAGTTAATGTAAAAGAGATTACTTTTTAAATGTCTTTCTTTTATTTAAAATTTGCTAGAGGGCACAGGTGCTCACTCAAGGAAGACAGAGAGGAGAGAAAGTGAGAAAGCACCCCTCTCATGGGGGATGGCCATGCCACAATCCTTTCTCCTCCATTATTCCTTTCAGGATTTGAGGCGTACATACACACGTGTCACCAGGTCTGGGACTTGAATAGCACAGTCATGTTTTTTCAAGTCACCAGGTCTGAGACTTGAATAGCACAGTCAGCCATAAGGGATCCAGATCCCTAACCACTATGATATAGACTGGCCCTAAATTTCTTTTTCAGCTATTTTGTTATTGGTGGGGGTTAGATTCACAACACATTAATTTTTAAAAAAAAATTATTTATTTAATTTCATTTGTTATTATTAGTATTTTTATATTTGACCAGAGAGAGAGACAGAGAGATAAAGAGAAAGCAAGAAAGCAAGTCACCAGGTCCAGCACCAGCACCACTGTCAGCCATGTGGGAGTCCCATGCTTCAACCACCACACCACCTGCTGGCCCTCCAACACATGGATTTTAAGGAACACATTCCACTATAGCATCCCACCCCTGGCCCCCACAGTCCATGTACTTCTCACACTGCAGAATACATTCCCATGGCCTTAGCTTGTTCCAGCATCATCTCGAAGTAAAAACTCTCATCCTAAAAATCAGATACGGGTGGGACTAAAGGCATAATTTATCCTGAGGCAAATTTGCCCTCCAACACATGAATTTTAAGGAACACATTCCACTATAGCATCCCACCCCTGGCCCCCACAGTCCATGTACTTCTCACACTGCAGAATACATTCCCATGGCCTTAGCTTGTTCCAGCATCATCTCGAAGTAAAAACTCTCATCCTAAAAATCAGATACGGGTGGGACTAAAGGCATAATTTATCCTGAGGCAAATTGCTCTCTAGCTGAGCGTCTGTGAAATCAGATAAATTATATCCTTCCAAGGCACAAGAGTGGGACATGCACAGGATAGATACTCCCATTCCAAAAGGGAGCAAGAGAAAAAAAGGAGGGGGTAACAGATCCCAAGTTAAGTCCTAAACCCAACAGGTCAGATAACATTGAATCTTGAAGCTTGAGCATTATGTTTGACGCCACGTGCCTCCTCTAGACACACTGGGGCAGAGTTGAGCCCCCCAGGCCTGAAGCGGCCTGCTCCCCACACTGGCTGGGCCCAACCCACGCCTCGGCTTACACTCACTGGCAGTGCTACCTGAAGCTTTCCCAGGCTGATGCTGCATGCTAGTGGCTCCACAGTTCTGGGCTCCGAGGGGCAACCCCACTCCTTAGGTATTGCCCTCGTGGAAACTGTAGCTGTGCCAACCTCATGGTTATGTTGGTTATTTCTCTAGTTCCAACACAAACGTTTTGGGGGGACATTCAGAACACAGCAACTTGGTCTCTGGATAGAAGAATGGGTGACTGAATAGTTCTCATGTGTCCCTACCTCTGAGGCAAGTCTTGGCCTAGGCCCTGAGGTTCTCTGAGACATTCTTTGAAATCGAGGTAGAGGAGGCTCTTGCACTCTGGACTCCTGCAGAATCAACACCACGAGGATGCCAAGGCATGTGCTCTCTGGAGCAGTGACTGGAGGTATGCCTAGGCCTGTTTGAATCAGAGCTAAAGGCCAAGAGCACTGTGCTGGTGTATGGGGAGCAGGGACCCAGGGCAGTTCAGGGTAATGAGGCACCCTGGTCCCAGCTCGAGGCTGCTCTTACCAAGGTCTCAGCACTCTGGGCCCTCTATGGACAGGGCTACCCTGAGTATTTCTGAAATGCTTTTGGAGTCATTCTTCCATTGTCTTGATGAATAACATCTGGCTTCTTTTCTCCTCTTTTAGTTTCTCCTCTCATTCTTCCTTCTTTGCCAGAGGGTGTGAATGCACTGAGAGTCGGAGAGATGGGGTTGGGTGAAGAGGGAAAAAGTACTCCTCAATGGGGCTTGGTCATACTACAATCCTCTCTCCTCCATTTCTCTATCTTGCAAAGATTTGGAGCATGCATGCACATGCACCTGGCATGTTTTTCAAGCCATAGGGGCCAGGATTTGAACCACAGATGGCCATGCGGAATTCAGCTTTTTTTTTGAGAGGTTTTTGCTACTGGGTGTGCGCGCTCACAAGACAGAGACAGACAGAGACGGAAAGTGAGAAATCACCCCCCAAGGGGATGGCCACACTGCAATACCTTCTCCTCCATTCTCCTCTCAGGATCTTGGGCACACACACGTGCGTGCCTGGCGTGAGTTTAAGCCACTGGGTCCGGGACTCAAACCACAGTCTACTATATGGGAGTCCAGCAACATAGCCATTACGTCAACTGTTGGTCCTGAATTCAGCTCTTTTAACCACTAGGCCTTGAAGCTGTTCCACATCTGGCTTCTTTCTATGCATACTGTATAATCTCCTTATCAAATGACTACTTAGCTACATTCCTGTCTTTCTCTCTTAAACACACTTTACTTGGTGAGGCTGAAAATCTTCCAAATCTTTATATTCTGCTTCCCTTTTCATTATAATGTGGTCTTCATTATTTTTGAGTTTTTTCACCTCCCATGAAAAACTCACACACTCACTGCACATAGTCACTGCAGAATCTTGACTCCTTCAACTTTTGCCAGCACTGACATTGGCCTTTGCAGTTTCCCCGACTTTCTTCATTCTGTCTTGTGTTCCTTTCGCTGTTTGTTGAGGTCTTTGTCTTCTCATACAGGCCATGCCTCACAAGTATATGTTTGTGTTCACTTTTCTTTGCATAATCCAAGAGATTGTAAATCATGCCAAAGCCGGTTGTCTTGTCATCACCAATATGGGTTCTGAACACAAACATAAAGATGACATCTGGTATGTACATCTTGGCTAGTTTTTCCTGAATTTCTGCCTAAGGTACTGTTGCCTTCCCAGGGTGGACGACATGGGTGACCATTGGTTTCCTCTGAAGTAGAAAACTGTCGTAAATTTCCTGGTACAGATAATTACTGCGTTATTCAGATGGTCTATCCTCAGGCAGCCAGGAAGGAAGAGTACATTTCATCTTGAAACCATCTCTCTTGTTCCATTAGGTCATAAATGGTTGACAGAAGCCACACAGCATCCTGCACACTTCTCTGCTTAGATATCTATTTGAGGTCATAGGTCTTAAACTCTGCCTTCTGCAAAGTTGCTAGGACACAGACATAAATGTGGAGGTCTTTGCCATTTTGTAACAAGGATGACTTTTCCTCCAGTTTCCAGTAAAATGTTCCTCATTTTCATCTACAATGTCATCAGAATGGTCTTTGCTGTTCACATTTCTACCAACATTCTGACCATGACCGAAGAAATCTGAGAGTGACGAGGCTTTCTCTACAGCTCCTCTTTCCTGAGCACTCACCAGACTCACCCTTAATGTTCTGTTCATGGTAACACAGGCTTATCCCAGCATTTGCTTCAAAACTATGCCAACCTCTGTCCACTACTGAGTCCCAAAGCCACTTCCCATTTTTTAGGTATCTGTTGTAACA